TCTAGAGACTGGTCTCCTGGTTGTTGCTCTGAAGCTCCGATCTTTTCTGTAGCAGATGGATATGTGAACTGATCCTGTGCACCTCAGATTCCCTCTGATAGGCTCAAGGAGAAGTAATTGATATTTCTATTTTAAAGAGGGGAGATGGTTTCTAACCATGGATTCAGGCAGAGGGAGTAGAGGGAAGGAAGGGGAAGAGGGAGCCAGGGACAATTGCTTCTCCTATGGAAACTCAAGCTGCCCCAAGGCCCAGAGGAGCTAGTCCATTAGCCGTGGTCAGCAGCAGGGGGCGGGGTAAGGAGGGGGAGCCTCTCTCCCTCCAGGTCTTATTGCCGAATGAAAGGCAAAGCTTTTGCTCCCTCTATTAGAGCCCCCCAACAAAAACAAAACAAAAAACCTCCACACACATTGTGAACACACACACACACACACACATCTCCTCTGAAAGGTTGAAGCTGAGTAACTTGGGTGGGGGGGTTGGCAGTCCCTAGGGGATCCGCGGATCCTCTAACTAGACCACAGAGAGAGGGGAGGCGGTGTCCTCACAAAGCACTTTCCAGGTTAAATCCAGCCCAAGGAAGAGCTGAGGGTGGTGAGAGCTCTGAGAATGGACTCTTCTACAATGTAGCTCCTTCTGGAATGGGGACAAGTGGAGGGACAGCTGAGCAGACAGGGAGAGCAAGTCTCCTGAGATCCTCAGGGAATAAGAGGGTTGGGGGGGGGGTCCTGATCACCCCAGAGGAAGTGGGTTTAAAGGGGAGCTGGGAAAGGGAGAGTTCTAGTAGTGCTGAGGTGAAGTTGGAGACCCAGGTCTTTCAGTCTCAGGCCTGCTACCGTGAGAGGGTCTGTCGCCCCCACTCCCAGACGCCGTCTTGGGTATGGAGAAGGGTCCAGCCTGGATGTTGGGGGTTTGGAAGAACCAATGAGAGGTTGGTCCGCTGAGAAGGGTGCAGGGAGAGAGACGACTGGGACTACACCCCCGCTCCTCCCTCCCCCGCCAGAACTTGGGCTTGTCCTATTTGACGTGCCCGCCGGAGGGGCGGGAAGGGGTACTGACCCGAGAAGCTGTCCCGAGACTCTGCTCCTGCTGCCCAGTCCCAACTGGGCCGCTGCCCGGCTTAACCGGACGCCCCTTTAGACCAGGATGGAGGTAGGAATGGTCCAGAGTCCGGGGACCGCGGGTGCCTCAAAGGAGCCCCACGGGAATGGGTATAGAGTATACTCTATTCCCGGATCCCTTCCTGGGGGTCTGGAGGTGGGACTGTAGTTCCCGGAGAGAGGGAGTGGGATTCTAGGCTTCGGCGGGATCTCTTTAGGGGCTGCGCCAGGTCAGGGCAGCGCCTCCTGCTGGCAAGAGACAGGACCCCCGGTGGGTGCAGCCACCTGGAGGACGTGCGCAGACACCTGGCCAGGGAGCCCAGGAGGCACTGCAACCAATGGGGAAGGAGCCACCTCGCTTCGCCTCGCCCTTTGCGGGGTGCAGGACCCAGGAAAGAGGGAAGACGGTAGAGATTCCCCCGGGAGCGGGGAGCGTCGCGGCTGGACTGTCTCCAAATAAATCCCGCAGAAGCCCCAGGGTCTGGCCCCTGGGAGGGGTAGATGGACTTGGCTTCTCTGGAGCCCTGAGGGGGCGCCCTGAAGCTTCGGCAAGCAAGCCGAACGCTAGCATTCTTCCTTTTTGGTCCTTCCCTCGGCTGAAGTCGGGGTCGCGGCTGCCGCTGGGATCGCGGTGCCTTTCTTCCTGGGGTACAGGAGTGTAAGAGCAGAACGCGGGAAGCAAGGTCAGGGCGGCAGAACCCTCTCCTAAAGATCAGGTGCCAGGGCAGACTTTGAACTATTCCCGCCCTTCTGCCTGCGGCGGTGGGAGCTCCAGGGTCCCTACACTTTCCCGGGAGGAGGTATAGGAAGACGCGGAGGGGGAAGGGAAGATGGGAAGGGAGAGCGAGCGATCGGGACGGAAGGACAAAGGGAGGCACCCAGATGAACGGAGAACAGGGATCGTAGAGAGAGACGGAAGTGGAAAGAGGCAGGACTGAAAGGCGAAGGGAGGCGGCGAGGAAGGGAGGGGGAAGGGAGGGAGGAGGGAAAGGGGAGGAACCAGGAGCGAGGGAAGAGAGCAGGCGGCTGAGTCGGGCAGGCGTGGGGCGAGGCCAAGCGTGCAGGCGGGAGCCAGTGTGCAGAACAGCGGCTGGGTCCTGCTCCCACCTCGGAGCCCCTGGCCCGGGGGAGGGGGAGAAGCCAATAGCCCGGTCTATGTCTTTTTCTGACTCCAGTGCAACCTTCCTGCTGAACGAGGTAACTACGGGCACCCCCCCCCTTTCCCAGTGGGTGGGAGGAGAGCTCTGCTTCAAGCTTAGGAGAGGGCCCACATTTGGGGGAGACTGCAGCATGAAGAGGGAGGGGAAACCAGAGGTAAGGCCAAGGATAAAAGGGCCACTGGGTAAGAGAGGAAGGGGCAGCCAGAGCTCCTTAGTATTGGGACTGGAATGGGAGGGAGGACTGATTGGGGAGCCAGAAAATGGGCTGGATTAATAGGAAGGCTCTCTCAAGTTCCCCCTGGTGCCCATTCTAAGTTCCCTGGGGGCAGCCTAGCAGCTAGAATGCTACCGATCTCCATTTAGTCCAGAAGTCCTAGCTCCTGCCTCAGTTTCTCTACTCGATGCCTGGGGATTGGGATATGCACAGCTTAGAGAAGCTATAATGCATTCTAGAGACTCTCCTAAACCTGGTTATTTCAGCTTTGCCTCTTAGGTCCTGCATCCATGATTAGTATGGTATGAGAACTGAAGTAGGCAGGTTTGGGTGAGGTGAGAAATGAAAGGATTATGGGGAGGTGGAAGGGAGGCTCTGAAGCACCAAAGGGACCCAGGGGATGGGCCCAGATATGAGGAACTTGAATCGATCTCCTGGGAGTGGTGAGCATGGCAACTCATGCCTCAGGAGCAGACTTACACACCATTGTCCCAGCTGGGGATGAAGGCAACAATGTGTGTGAGGAAGGAGTGCTGCTAATGGCAGATCTTCTGTTACCTACAGTCCCAGAACCCCATGTGCATGGGGAGAGTCCAAAAAGAAGAGACCAGGAGAGTAGATTCAGGGATGGGAGAGAACCATTAGGACCATCTCCCAGGAGGGCACTCTTTCACACCTCTCTACCCTCTGGATGGAGAGAAGAAAAAAGGAGGATACAAGGAACAGTGAGGAACTGGGAGAGGACATAAAAGTGAAGACAGTATCTGGGACCTTTCAGTACAGAAAAACCAATATATCACCCCTACACCTGCAGGAATGAGAGGGAATTGTGAAATCCGACTGCCTCCCTCAGTTGTGACCAGCATTCTCAGTCACAGGGACTGCAACAGTTATCTGCCAACCCCAGGAGAAAGAAGGGCTGAAGTGGCCCACTCAAAGGTGTGGGCAGACAAATTTGACAGTCTGAAGATGAGTCCCCTTCACTTTTTCTTGCCAAGGGAATAGGAAGAAGTGATACAGGTGGCAAGTTAGTTGATTTGTGTGATCTTCCTCTCTCTCCTATGCACTGTGCCTTCTGCTATGAATCTTATCAAACTCATTACAGTTTTGGCTTTCTGATTTCCCTTTAGCCTCCAACGGTAAAAGGGATGAGTAAATTCCTAAACTCACCCTCCTGGGTATGAGAAACTGGGAATGGAAAGGACTGAGTTTAGAGACAAGAGCATAGACCAAAGTGTGTATGCTCCAAAGGTAATTCAAGTCTATCACATCCTCCCCTTGGGGTGCTCAGGTAGGTGGTGAGAATTCAAATGAATAATTATGCTCAGGAAATGCAAAAAGGAGGAAACTTAAATGGGTAGATTTGGGGAAATTTTTCTTGAAGACAAGGGCTGCTGCTCTATATCAAATCGCAGTACTCCTTTGAAGGAGACTGAGTGATGCAGAGTAGAACTGTGGCTAGAACTAGGATAGTGCCCACCCTATCTTGGACCTTTTGCAAAGCAGGAGATTTGCTATTTTGTCCTCCCAACCCTAGTGTGCCACGATCCCACCTTTTGTCTCACCCACCTACCGCCATCCTCTGGTTTCTTCCCCTTTCTCTTTAGGTTCACCTAAAACAGCCCCTTCCTGCTCCAGTTCCCACAGATGCCTTGGCAATGCCTGGCACAATCCTTGGCAAGGACTTTAGGAAGGGAACTTCCATCCTGGCCGGGCTAGGATGAAATCTTCCCGCTCAACAGGTGTAACGGGCCTACCCGGCTTGGGAAATTACCCCCTTCTCAAGGGTTGGGCGACACCGCCTTTTGCTGCAGCCCAGTACAGACCGGGCGAAGCATCTGTTGAGACAGGGGCTGCTTTCAAGGCATCGGCCTGGGGTCGCCAAACCGATTCCTCCCCAGTATTACTACGGGGTTTGCATTTGTTGTCTCATAGGGAGCGATAACACTCCGGACACACTGCCTTCTCACCTGGGACTCTCCCCGTCTGCTGCCCGTCCCTCCTCCCCACCCCCGATCCACCTCCCCGGCTTCTCCTGTGACCCTCAGTCTTCGCATTTTCCTTCCTCTGCCTCGATTACTGCTTTTTGTCTTCTCCTGCCTTCCCGTCACCCGTGGTCTCTCCGGTCTTGGCTCAGGTCGCGCCTCCTCCCTGCCTCGCGCCCCCTCCCCTCCCCCCGCGGCAGCCCTTTGTTTCCCCGCGGAGTAGTTCCTGGGTTGCTGAGCGTCTCTGTCTCCGCATCTCTCCTCGCCCCGCCTCCTCCCGCCCGGATCCGCCCCGCCCGCAGCCTCTCCTCCCTTCCTCCCCGCTGCCCCTGCCCCAGAGGTGCTGGGGGACCCACCTTCCCCAACTCGCGCCCGCCGCCTCCCGGGCCCAGTACCCCCACCGCTCCCAGGCCGCGGCGCCCCCGCCGCCTCCGCCTTCCCGGGAGGGGGTCAGGTGGGCGGGCACTATTGTTGTAGGAGCCGGCGCCAGATTCCTCAGCCGCGCTTGGGGTGGGACCGGCTGGGTTTGGGGGGTGGGGAGGGGGAGCGGTGATTTGAGCTCCGAGCAGCTGGTCTTCGCGGCTCGCTCCCTCCTTCGCGCTCTCTCGCTTTCCGCCGCCGCCCGCAGGGCTGCGGGGCTCCGTGGCATCTCGGGCGCGGCCCGCTGTCCTCGCCCCAGCCTCCGGGCCGCTCCCGCCCCCGGCGCCGCTCGCTTCCCCCACCCGGACTCCCCCATGTATGACGACTCCTACGTGCCCGGGTTTGAGGACTCGGAGGCGGTGAGTGCCCACGGGGAGGGTGGGGGTGGGGCAATTGGGGTGACACCTCCTTTCCCTGCAACCCTTCCCCCAGTTCAGGACTTTGAAAAACGCCTCAGTGGCGGGGCAGGGCGCGTAGGGGGGCGTTCTAGGAAAGTGGAGAGATGGGTTTTCAGGCCAGGGGCTTCCCAGTGCCCCAGGCCTAGACTAAGGGGTGTAGGAATGTATGGAGGGGGCACTGGAGTTGGGGGAAATTTGAGCAGGTGGCCCCAAAGCCCAGGGCAGAAGGGGAAGAGGGAGAAAGGGGTCGAGGCTATAGACACTGAGGCTGTAGAGAGGGAACACGCAATGTCTGGAGTTGCAAATTCTGGCTTTATGGGGTCTAAACACTGCTGTTGGAGAGAAATTGGTGCTCCTGGGCAGGGGGGACACTCCAGACCAGTGCCTCAAGGTAAAGGACAAATTGGGGGGCTAGGAGAACATCAGAGAGTCGGGTACCAGCTTCTTCAGTCAGAGGAATCCTAAAACTTGAGGAGCATCATCATTCCTCTCTGTTCTCCATCTCTGCGAATTGCCTTTTCTCCTCACCCTTTCTCTAGCCCAGTTTCTCTCCCAGGCTGAAACCTGGACATCCAGCACATGGGTGGCCCAGCTGACTGAGCCCCATCCATTACTCAGCCCCCTCCTGAGGCTTTCTCAGAGCAGCGGGTGTCCTGAGCTCCTGCTCAGCATGGAGGGCCTGGAGGTGAGGCCAGAGGAGCTGAGGGCCTGGGGATGGAGAGGAAGCTCTTTGCTCAGAGAACCAGGCAACCAATAAATATTTAATTCTTCTCTTTGCTTTTATCTCCTGACCCACTGAGACAAATCAGCTCATTAGGCAGTGATTCCCGGAGCAGGAGCTCAGAGAGCAGGGAATATGCCTGGAAAGATAAGAGTGGGGAGCAGCCTGAGTCCCTTGGAGCTGCCAGCCTTCCCTCAAACATCCCACAAGAAGACCTTCTTAGTAAAAGACAACTGGCTCGGAGGGGGCCTCTGATAGGATGAAGGGTTGAGCATTCCCAGGTCTGAAAGCACCATTGAGTCAAGTCTTCTCCCATCGCTCACCACCAGGTCCAGTATAGATGATATTGGGGCTCAGACCAGGCAGCTGTCAGTCCTTTTCTGGGACTGAGCTCCTTCTGGGCCGAATTTTCCATGGGTCCTCTGGGGCTAATTACATTGCAGCTAGAGCAGATGATTTTCAAGGTTCTGGTGGACACCTCTTTCTGACAGTTGAAGAGACAGCTGGTGTAGCCCAGGGGGCCAAGGTGAGCTTGAGAACAAACCTCTCAATGGGGCTGCAGGGCCCTAGGAGGCTCTTCCCATCCCTGGTGAGAAGGCGAGGACTATTGCAAGGAAAAGACTGACGCGTGGATGGTATTGGAGAGGAGCCTGCTGACCCATTGCTGTTCCCCTCTGGTTCCTGGATCATCCTCCCCCACCTTCTTTCCCCTTGCCTGGCTCCTTGCTCTCCCTGAGGCCCCCTCTGAAGCAGTAGGAGGGAGATCAGGCTCTAAATAAATCCACAGGCTCATCTCCCTCCTCTCCTTCCCCCGTGCCAGGCAAGAGAGGAGCTGCAGCCTGCCCACACACTCACCAGGCAAGGGGGGCACCACCAGGGCACTGTGCCAACTCTGGCAGCTCCCAAGTACTGAGCCTCTGGCTGTTTTGGCATATCAGGGAGTGGGGAAAGTAAGACCCCAACATATGCTTTTTAGGACAGCCCTGACTTTCCCAAAGTGATATCAGAGCGTGAAAGATGAGCAAGCCCTTAGGACTTTGGAATCATGGAGAGGGGTTCCATTCTGAGCACAACTTATTAAATATTTAGGGAGAGATTCTGACATTCCCTTCCTAGTGTGAGAGGCCAACTAAGTCAGATGCCCCAGATAGGGATAGTAAGATCCCTAAATAAGGCTGAGAGCCTGGGCAGCAGGGAATAAAGATGGAACTCCTCTCTCAGCACCATGCTGGGCATCTAGGAGGTCTTTCTCTGACATATGCCAAGTGAATGGTCATCCTGCCTTGCCTCCTGCCTCCTGTCCTTTTGGCTTCTGTCCCCTCACTCAGCCCGCAATGTCTCACAGAGTTAGCACTTGTGTTCTAAGGCTCCTGGGAAGGAGGACTCTCACTCTATACAAAGGTTTTTTTCTGGGGCTCAGCCTCTCATTATCCTGCTGCCAAGCCAGCCTTATTTTGTTTTCAGTAGAGATAGGGAACACAAGCAAACTCTGCTCCTTTCAAATGAAAGGCTTTCCCCCTGAACTGTGTCCATGCCTTGGGTCTACTATAGATGTTATCTCTAGCTTAGGCTGTAGGGCCCTGACTGACACCAAGCTGACCAGCCCTCTTGCCCAAGGCAGTGATGAGGAAGAAGGCATGACTAATGGGCAGGTGCTTGATGTTGTCTCTTCCACTGAGAGTCTATCTAGCCTTTACTGCCTTCTGTAGGTGACCATGCCCCATAGGCTTAACAGAATGAATATTCCTCAGCCTGGGATCCTAAAACCTCTTCTCCCACACACTCCTACAGGAACCCTTTATCCAAGCTCCTTCCTTCTCTCTGCCACTGGCATCTCAGAATTGAGCAAAGTATCCCTTCAGACTTTTGCCCTTAAAGAGGAAAACTGAGGTAGAAAACAAGATTTCATTTTCCCTAGACTTGCAGGGAAAACTCAGATATCCTAACTTCCAACCACTTGACTCTAACTCTGGATCTTCTTATTAGTTTGGACAACTCCCTTATGGCCTTGAAGGTGGACTCTGCAACCCTTCAAATGCACCTTCTTTGCTCAAAGATCCTTTCTATGGGAAGATCTTTGAGACTCTCTTTTCATTATTACCAAAGACACCCTCCCACATCCCCAGGGTCCTGTACTACCTCAGCTGGGTTGCTTGGCACCAGTGTGGTCTTCCTCCAGGGCCTGATATCCACCTGGGCCCAGGAAAGGGGTGGGGAGATATAGGCCAAGCGGTAGGTGTGGCCCAGCCTTTGCTGTGCCCAGGGAGATAGCTTTGTATTGCCCTCTTAGTCTGTCTGATTTGCTGCTCACACCTGGCCATATGCCCCAGCAGGTGTGAAATGAAAGAAAGTGGGTGGTAGGGACAGTAAAGGGGAGGTAGCTTCCAGGAGTTGACAGCTCAGTCTTCACACTAGAGAAGAGCAAGGGCTTACCATTTGGGAGCCTTCAAAACCTTGTTGGAGTAGGGAAGGTGGACCCTAAGAGGGCAAATGACTACATCCAGACACTCAGGCCTGTGAGGTGGCAACCAGCGTCTCTTGACTGTTCCTGGCTGTACTCTTCTCAAACATCTTAAGAGATGATGTCCAGGCTGCTTTTTAGGCTGGTGTGAACAAGTGGGGGCTGGTCTCCTGGATTGAGAATTATCTCTAGCATATCATCTTCAGTACATATCATCTCCCTTCTCTGTCTCAGAGGACTTGGTAGAGAAGAGAAAAAGGAGGGAGAAGTGATGTCTCTATACAAAGCTGCAGTATTAATAGGCTGGGAGGGAAGGGGCCCTGATCTTTGCGTATATGGATCAGACCAGCTTCCCTGTAGGTTCAGAGGCACTGTGTTCCTTCTCAGTGGATAGAAGCAGCATGAGATTCCAATTACCCCCTGGGAGATGGAGAAGCTGTAACAGAGGCACCAGTGTAGCTTTAAGAGGATGCCTTTCTGGTGTCCTTCACACCTGAGCCCAGGGGTCACAGCCTTTCTCCCATCCCAGGGTTCAGCTGACTCCTATACCAGCCGCCCATCTCTAGACTCAGACGTCTCCCTGGAAGAGGACCGGGAGAGTGCCCGGCGCGAAGTGGAGAGCCAGGCTCAGCAGCAGCTCGAGAGGGCCAAGGTATACCTTTTGGGTAGGAGGCCAGACTGAGGGAAACCTACACTGGGTCCTGGGTCCTGTGGAGTCAGGAAGGATAAACTTGAGCATGAGTGTGTGTGTGTACGTGTGTGTGCACATGCAATGGGCAAAGGCTCAGGCTGACACCAAACTCCTCTACTGGAGCTCTCACCTTCCCCTGATGGTGTGCCAAAACTGGAAGGGGTGCCTTGTACTAACCGCTGAATTCTTCAGCACAAACCTGTGGCATTTGCTGTGAGGACCAATGTCAGCTACTGTGGTGTACTGGATGAGGAGTGCCCAGTCCAAGGCTCTGGAGTCAACTTTGAGGCCAAAGATTTTCTGCACATTAAAGAGGTAATCAGCTCCCCTTCCCCAAAAAGCCTCTAGCATCTGCTTTTCTTGCTTCTCCCCCAATGCCTGTTACTTTAATTCTTAGTCTGTGAATAAGAAGTCTCCAAACTCTTCCATTCTTACCTTTATATACACCTGTACACCCTTTACACCCTAGACCTGATCCCTAGGTCTCTACCATTCTGAGACCTGGCTTTATCCTCAGTTTCTATATCTGTAAAGTGAGCAGTTAAATTAGTTGCCTCTGAGGTCCCCTGGGACCACTGTGATGCTGTACTCTGAAATCCTGTGGCTTGACCCGGACTGCCTTTCCTTCTAACACCTTCTCCTGTCACTGCCCCTGGCATTACTTTTCCTTAGACCAGCTCAGCCCGAGGCCTGGGCTGGCTCCTCTCACTGCCCCTCTTGCTCCACCCCAGAAGTACAGCAATGACTGGTGGATCGGGCGGCTAGTGAAAGAGGGTGGGGACATCGCCTTCATCCCCAGCCCCCAGCACCTGGAGAGCATCCGACTCAAACAGGAGCAGAAGGCCAGGTGAGAGCAGACTGTAACTCAATAAACACACACCCCAAACGTGCACTTGGCCCACAGTACATGTCAAATGCACCACATATGTACACAAAGACCCAGCTGTACATTATTTACACCACACATACACCCACAGATGCATACTTAGCACAGGTACTCCATTTTCATAAGTGGGTGGGCATTTATACAACTATTGGATAACATAGAACATACACATTTATACTCTCTTTTCTTTTTTTCTTCTCAGGAGATCTGGGAACCCTTCTAGCCTGAGTGACATTGGCAACCGACGTTCCCCTCCTCCATCTCTAGGTAGTCTCCCCTTAACCCACCCACCTTGGGTAGATGGGTAACTAAGACACAGGGGAAAAGGGGATTCTCCCAGTGAACTGTGTGGGAAGGGGCTGGTGGAGGGATCAAAAGAACTGGGAGAAGCCCAGTGTCTCTCATGGGGAAGGGAATACCATGCTTTCAGGGCCTTTTCCCTTCACCAACTTTAATCTTTTATTTCCTTTTCCAAAAAGCCAAGCAGAAGCAAAAGCAGGTGAGTCAAGAAAGGGAGATGGGCTGGGGGGCTCATGGCTACAGGGACACTTTTCTGGGCAGTCATTGTTGGAGGGGCAGAACAGAGGGGAGGGAACCCAGAACTTCTGACTACCCCCTCCACTCAGGCATAAGGCTGGTGCCAGGGCCATAATTTTCTTTATTCTGCAGGCAGAACATGTTCCCCCATATGATGTGGTGCCCTCCATGCGGCCTGTGGTGCTGGTGGGACCCTCTCTGAAAGGTTATGAGGTGAGAGGAAATCCCAACCCCAAAGAGTCACCCCTGGCAAGACTGCCATATGCAGGCCCCAGGGCCAGTGGGAAGGAGAAAACTCTGGGACCTTGTATGGGGACACTGCTCTCTCCAAGAGGGCTTGCATCAGTACTGTGCCCTCCCCCCAGGTTACAGACATGATGCAGAAGGCTCTCTTCGACTTCCTCAAACATAGATTTGATGGCAGGTAAGCTGCCCTGGCCTGGCCTGACCTGAGAACCAGAGAGAAGATCATTGACTACTTCCCCATGCCTAGAGCAAGTCTCCTCTAAAGGGAAAGCTAGAAAGCTGGGTAAGGAGAGGCTGAGGCTTTTTATGGTTTGAGGTTTGAAGCCAGCTGTGGTTTCCCACCCCTACCCCAGGATCTCCATTACCCGAGTCACAGCAGACCTCTCACTGGCAAAGAGATCTGTGCTTAACAATCCTGGCAAGAGGACCATCATTGAGCGCTCCTCCGCCCGTTCCAGCATTGGTGAGGAGTCCCCATCTCCTGCTTCTCTACCCACTCCAGAGCTAGTGAGAACCTACCTTCTCCCTTTTTTCTTGCCCATTCCTTGTTTTTCTGCCCGTCTCCTCTGCCTGCCCCAAGATAATCAAGAACCCACCCCCTTACTCAATTCCCTGGTCTTCTGCCTGTCCAGGCCTCTAGTTCCTTCTAGATTGCCATTTGGGAGCCCTCAAAGTCCTGGGAGTAAATAGTGGGTGCTATTTACAGAGCACTGTGCTCCTTTCCTTAGCTGAGGTACAGAGTGAGATTGAGCGTATATTTGAGCTGGCCAAATCCCTGCAGCTAGTAGTATTGGATGCCGACACCATCAATCACCCAGCACAGCTGGCTAAGACCTCATTGGCCCCCATCATCGTCTTTGTCAAAGTATCCTCACCCAAGGTAAGTCAACAGGGGCATGGGGAAGGCCCACAGAACTGCCCCCTAGCATGCAGCACACCTCTGCTTAGGCCCTTTCCTAGGGTATGAGATTGTCCCTGAACACCACTCGTAAGTGTTCCACCCTCCCCCCCTGCAGGTACTCCAGCGGCTCATTCGCTCCCGTGGGAAATCACAAATGAAGCATCTGACAGTACAGATGATGGCATATGATAAACTGGTTCAGTGCCCACCGGTGAGTGCCTGGGTCAGCGGTTTCTATACCCACTCTTCGAGGGCAGCAGGTGTGGTAGAGATGGGCAGGGACTGCTGCCAAGAGGAAGCCAACATTTTCCCTTTACCCTCCTTCCCCAGGAGTCATTTGATGTGATTCTGGATGAAAACCAGCTGGAGGATGCCTGTGAGCACCTGGCTGAGTACCTAGAGGTTTACTGGAGGGCCACCCACCACCCAGCCCCTGGCCCTGGACTTCTGGGCCCTCCCAGTGCCATCCCTGGACTTCAGGTAACCATTTACAATGGGTTACCGTTGCCAGCCAAACCACATACCCTTTCTGCCCAGAGGATTTTCCTTGCCCTATCGTTCAGAAGGCCAATGGATTGTTGAGCTCTCAGCTCTGCTTCCACTTTGTACAAAGCTAGTGCACATGGACCAAGGAATTTCCTGGTTGAGAGTAAATCGATAAGATGGGTAATCAAAGATTTGTTTTCTAGGGAGTCAAGAGAAACATTATCTTCAGGAGGCTGAGGCAGGAGGATTGCAAGGTTGAGGCCAGCCTCAGCAACTTAGCGAGAACCTGTCTCAAAATAGAAACACAGAGGGCTGGGGATGTGGCTCAGTGGTAAAGCCCTGCTCTGGGTTCTGGGTTTAGTCCCCAGTAGCCAAAAAAAAAAAAAAAGGAAGGAAAGAAAGAAACAAACATCTCCAAACCCTCCTCCCAGTCAGTTTTGGAGGCAGAGCCTGAATTTTGCAGAGGTCAAAAGCTCCAATATTCTTTATCTGACCAGGAAAGATAATCCAGCATGCTTCTTCCTCACACCAATTCCTCCTATACCTGTAAATTGAGTTGAGGGGAAGAATCTTCCACTCTGCCAGAGGTGGGAGGGAGGCAGAAGCCAGATCCCATGCTGCTTCACTTAGAGCTATTGTGTGGCCCTCAGAACCAGCAGCTGCTGGGGGAGAGAGGCGAGGAGCACTCACCTCTGGAGCGGGACAGCTTGATGCCCTCAGATGAGGCCAGCGAGAGCTCCCGCCAGGCCTGGACAGGATCTTCACAACGCAGCTCACGCCACCTGGAGGAGGACTATTCAGATACCTACCAGGACCTGTATCAGCCTCACCGCCAACACACCTCGGGGCTCCCCAGTGCTAATGGGCATGACCCCCAAGACCGGCTCCTAGCCCAGGACTCGGAGCACAACCACAATGACCGGAACTGGCAGCGCAACCGGCCTTGGCCCAAGGATAGCTACTGATGACCTCCTGCTGGCCTACCCTGGCAGGCACAGGCACAGCTGGCTGGGATGCCCACTCCAGGCAGGTTGGAGTTAGACTGGCATTAGGCTGCCACTAGGCTCAGCTCCCACAACCCCCTGCCCAGTCCCAGGGCTGCCTGTGGTCCTAAGGTTCTGGAAGACGCAGGGGAACCCCTCACCTCTTGGGCACAGTGACCCCCTAGGCTCCCATTCCAGGTACTAGCTGTGTGTTCTACACCCCTGGCACCTTCCTTGCCTCCTGCACAAGAAACTGCCCCACTGGGCAGTGCCCTCAGGCCAGGATCCCCTTAGCAGGGACCTTCCCACCAGACTCAGGGAAGGGATGCTCCCTCATAGTGACAAGAGGGTGGGGGCTGTGGGCAACATGGCACAAGGAAGAAACAAAATTCCCAAGCAAACAACGGTCTTAATAGTCATAGGACTGAGGAGTTGTGCTTTGGGTCCAAGGGTCTCCATTCACCTCACTGCCATACATTAGGAACAAGACAATCAAAGCCCAACAGGATGGTACTTCCACCCATCAGTTGGAGTGGGGCATCCACATCCAAGACCAGGGTAGCAGGCAGGTGAGGCGGGGCTGGAGAGACCTCACTACCAAAGCTCTTGGAGAAAAAGGCCCTCCTCACACCTCCAGGAAGCTTAGCATCTGACAGGACCAGGGACATGGAGCATGGTCAAGCCAAAAGGTAGCAGGAGCCAACCTGGATTGGAAGTTTTGGGGAGGAACAGCTTAGGGGCCTCCTTGCCTTTCTCATCCTTCTGCCCTTGCATCCTGGCATTTCTGTTCTCACCCTTCATGCCTCCTGGAAGATGGGGGCTCCAAAATATTCCCTGACTCATAGCTGCTGCTTGTTAGGTTAGGGTTAGATGAGGAGACATAGGACACAGTGGACAGCCCCCAGAGGCCCTGGCTACCTGGTTACCCTTGCCTTATGGCTCTAGTGTGTGACCTACAGAGCATGCTCCACAAGACCCTGTCCCATTTCACTGTCATCAATAAAACACCATGCACAGTCCCTCGGGTGTGTGTTCTATATCTGTGGGCTCAGGTGGCCAAGTTCCTCATCTTGTGCCCCAAATCTACCAGAAGGTATTTTGTCTTCCCTTCTCTCTCCAATGACCCATTGAGTGGGAAGAGGCAAAGGGTGGAGCTTCAGGAGACCCTGGGCTCCTAGGCACTCCCCACCCTCTCATATCCAAGCTGTCTATAGACATTTGGCAGCATAGAAGGGACTTGTATAGAGAGATGAGGAAGAAACTAGTTACAGTTTCCCACTGTCCCTGCCTCAGGTCAGAAAAGCCCTATTAGCAGCTATACCTTGAATTCTATGCACTTGCCAGCTCTGAGGGGTAGAACATTTGCATAAGAGGGGCGTGGGTGGGAATAGCACCACTCCTCCTTCATTCTCCCCTCCCATGGGCGGTATATCCAGTAACTGGAATCCTCAAGCAAAGACAAGGTGTCAGGCGCATAGTGACAGGGTCTAAGAGTGGTTCAGACTGCCTTACCCGCCCAATTTCACAGTTGCTTTCCTTTTTGATCCTTGTGTAAAGCTCCCTAGGTGGTGTCCAAGCTAGGGCCACAAGTTACATGAGGTTCAAGCAGGAGAGGGGAGATGCATCATGATCCTGCTGTGATGGCTTTTCCGTCTCCCCTCAAGTGCTATCTACAACTTAGAAAGAATATAAGCTGAGACCCTAGGCTTCTCGCTGGATGTGACTTTCATTTTCACAAACAACCCACTGTGCCCAATGTTGTCCTTCCTGTCCTATATTATCAGGGAACCTAGGGAGATGAGTTTGGCTAGAACTAGACACAGCCTTAATATTCATTATTTATTCTCAGAACATACAAACTCATCTTCTCAGAGAATAGAAAACAGAAATTTCACTCAGTGACTTAAAGATGAACACAGCCAGCTCACCCTGTCCCCACATCTACTAAAAAAATTCCCTGGGGGAGGGATGCCTAGAGTGCACAGCACCCCTTGGCACAGGGCTGTGCACAGTTCTAAAGGCTCTTGACTTGTTTTATATGCCAAATGGGAAAACAGCTGTCAAAATGACAGAGTCCACAGTCCACAATCCTCATGGTGCCAGATCCCCTGGGTTATCTAGGGCAACAGCATCGCTGCAATGCACATGGTTACACTGTCAAGTCCTTGCCGAAGAAGATCCTAACGCAGGCAGCCAGATGTGTTCAGTCTTGGGGGTAGTGCCAGCAGGTTGCCCTATAAACTGGGAAGAGTTCATGGCCCAGTACAATGTGAAAACCCCCCAAAGGGGCAAAGCTGAGCCTAACATCTGTGCTTTCCCTGCCTCCCACAGCATCCTCCTATCGTTTTGCAGTCTCACTCAGGCCTCCGACCTTAGGGTCTAAGCCAGGGAGTCTGATTGTTTCCAAGCTCCCATAACCCAAGACTGAGAACCTGGAAAGAGGAATGTGAGGGTCTTAAAGAACAGGCATCACGCAGCTTCACAGCATGTCCTTAAACCCACTGGAGGAGTGCTGTGTCAAGCAAAGATGGTCTCTTCTCGGCGCTTCTTGGTGAGGATGGTGCCTGGCTTGTGCTGAGCATCTGGGTGGTTGGCTAGCTCTGGGGGACAGGAAGACACTGGGCTCTCCAGGATGGCTTGCTTCAGCTCATAGAACACAGCTGAGTCCTCTTTGGTGAGGAAGGTGATGGCCACACCACTCTTGCCTGCTCGTCCCGTACGGCCAATGCGGTGGATATAATCTGGGGAGCAGGAGGAATATCACCCTGGGACCAGGCCAGATGCCCTGGTGGGCACTGTATGAAGCATCTACTCCTAAAGGCACCCACTCCTATCCCCCATGAACCTTTATGAGCAGAGAATCCACCTTACCCTGCCCATATCTGATGCTCCCACAGAGCCTTCCACTGCTGTCTCCCCACTCCCACTGCTGACTATGATCATCCTACTACACCAAGTGTCACCTAGCCCCATTCTTTTCTATAACCCTGAAGACAGAAGTGTTATTCCATGTACTAGGATAACCAACCCAGACGAGCTGATGGGCAAGAGCTTTTCTCATCAGGACCGGTGTACCCAGACTGGAAGCTGGGAGCTCCTCAGAACAGCATTGACCCTAAGTGGAAGGACCTAGAGTCTCACCTTACGCTGAATTAAAGCTGCTTTCCTGTGCACTTACCTTCAATGTTTTTGGCCATATCATAGTTGACAACCATAGACACATCCTGGATGTCGATACCACGACCAGCCACATCTGTAGCCACCAAAATATCCTTGGCCCCAGCCTTGAGGTTGGACAGCGCAAATTCTCGCTGCTCCTGACCTTTTCCACCATGCAGTGTACAAGCATTGTACTGTTGGAAGAATGGTAAGGTAGACAATAATGGGAATATGGGAAGACACAAAAATAAAGAGAATGGGGATGGAGGGGAAGGGTTGGGGAGAACAGCAGGTAGGAAAAGGGAAGGAGGCAAGAGAAAGAATACAATTCAAAGAGAGGAAAGAACAGGTGAAGTGAAAAAAGGGATGGGAGGGAACAGAGCGTGGCAGAGGCGGACAGAGTAAGGTCAAAGGCAAAGCATCTGGGTGGTTGGAATCAGGTGAGAAGTTCTCAGAGAATTAGGAGAGATTAGGGTGGAAAGCAGGGATCAGGAAATTTAAGGAAGATGAAGAATTGAAGGTCAAGGATACAAAAACTCTCCCTGTCAAGGGCACTGATTATCAATATTTGCCTCCTGACCCTATTATCTCCACTCCCAAACATATACAAACAGCATGAACCCAACTCTATTCCACACCCTCAGACCCTGTTAAGATGTATCTCGGGCTGGGGATGTGGCTCAAGCGGTAGCGCTCTCGCCTGGCATGTGTGCGGCCCGGGTTCGATCCTCAGCACCACATACAAACAAAGATGTTGTGTCCGCCGAAAAACTAAAAATAAATGAATAAATATTTAAAAAAAAAAAAAGATATATCTCAAAAACCTCTTTCTGCCCACACCCTACTTGGATGAAGACCCACAGCAGCTTTTGGCTGGTGTAGCTGGAATGGACAGGGAGTCCTAGCAACTGCCTTAGTTCTCCTCAAACATTCTTTTCATTTTGGCCCTGATTGGCTGAATGTTAGAAAGGTTAAAGGATGAGAACTCAAAGTAGGTGCCTAAGGGACTGCCCCCACCCCCAGTGTCAAAAAGCAGCCACAGAGACTGCTGCTCTCCCTTGCCAAACATACCCCCATTTTCTCCAGGGACTTGGCCAACACATCACAACCCTTCTTTTGATTGACAAAAATGATGATGGGTGGATCAAAGCCTTGTTCCAATATTGCCAGCAGCTTTTTCCTGGGGAGAAAAATGAGATGCATATTTCCCACTCTAAGTGAAACACCCAACCCTGACCTGTGAACACCAATTTCAGGATCTTAAATGACAATGGCATTCTAAAAAAGAAAACAAACTCTTCAACATGGCAGAACAATTGCCCAGCAGTGACTGCACTGGAAGAAGTTCTCAAAGCACTTCCTCTCTCCACCAGTTTCCCCAGCTCAGCTGTCGCCATACCTCTTTTCTGACTCTGACATGAGGAAGACCTTCTGTTCCACACGCTCATGGGGCTTGCCTGCCGAGCCAATGTATACCACAGCAGGTCGCCGAAGATAGCTCCTGGCCAGACGCTCCACCGCTGGGGGCATGGTGGCAGTGAACATGACTGTCTAAGAAAACAGGAGGCTCAGCCCTGGGCCCAGGCAGATATAATCACATATCCCACTATCACCACAAACTAAAAAGAATCTAAAATGTGTTCCACTCTAAGTTTGATAGCTATCACCTTAGGAACAGTGTCCTTTGCTTTCCTATTTTTCCCCAATACCTGTACATTCAGGCACTTTACATCCTACAATGACAAGAAGGGCTAGAGCATTTGCTACCTGTTGTCCTGGGTAGTAGCATGATTTTTTGAAATAATTTTTTCAGGACTAAGCTAAAAGGCCATAAAGACTGTCAGAGGATTGTACCTAGGCACACCTTATCATTCCAGAAACACGTACTCTGAGCCTATATAAGGCAAAAAGAGTCTACAAGCAGGTGTAGGAACTTGCCCAACTTTTCCCAACCCAGGGAAGCAGTCTTACTTGGCGGTACTTATGTTTTCCTGACTCAAAGTTGGCCAACATCTTCTCAGGATCCTCAGCCTCATCTGTGTCTGGTTTCTGGTTGCTGACAGGCATGTGCTCCAGGATCTTCTGGACATCTGGCTCAAAGCCCATGTCAATCATCCTATCTGCCTCATCCAGAACCACATAGGTACAGCGGCTCAACACTAGGTAACGGTTTTCCAGTACATCAATCAGACGTCCCGGGGTAGCGATCACGATCTAGGGAGTATTCTGTAATTATATACGGCCCCAGAAGGCAAACCCCTTCTTTTCTCTGATGTGAACTATCCACCCAGTTGAGTAACAGACCTCCAGTGCTAAGGAACTTGGAACCCAACCTCTAGATGAGTTTGGTAGTATAAAAATTCCTAAGAACTTATATGAAATAATTTTTGCTACCTCAGGAATAAATAAATGGGGTCTCTAAAGTAAGACAGAGATTAGATAGAGAAGGCAAAAATCAGAAGGAACTTTCTATATAGGAGAGAGACTAATATTTGAAAGTGGCTGCATGAAGAGATGCCACTGAGAAGTTTGCACAACTCAATTCCTACCGATTTCTAAAAGGCTCACATCCTCTTTCCTGACAGGAAGGTAACATGCAAAGTCAATGATGTGGGCTGGCAAAGTAGTAAGAGCACAGGCTTTGGATATGAACCTCCACTTTGTCTGCTGCTAGCCAGCTATGTGGGACTTCAGGCAATTTATTAACCCAGGTCTCAGCTTCATTTATAAAATGGTGATCCCACTCCCTGTTTTCATGTTTGTTGTGAGAATTAATAAGCTAATATTTATGCATTACATGCAGTATGACCCATGGTGCATAAGATCTGAATAAGTAGTACATATACATAAACTAGTCCCTTTTTTCATTTTACTGCACATCTATTCCAGAAACTAGAAACAAATGCCCAAGAGAGAGAGCCTTCCCAAACAGCAGGTGGCTGCTGGCAAGGGAAACAAACCTCACAACCCATGCGCAGCCTGAAGCCCTGGTCTTCTCTGGAGATACCACCAATGACAGCCACAGTGCGGATGCCTAGCGGCTTCCCAAATTTGATGGTCTCTTCCTCAATCTGCTGAGCCAACTCACGAGTAGGAGCCAGGATGATGGCATAAGGGCCCTGGTCTGACTCTTCGATCCTGTGGTAAATGGGGTGTCCCACAGCTTCATGAGCTTTGGTTCTTATTCAACCACAATAGGAGCAAGACAAAATCACTTTTAAGGCTAACTATGGGAATAGGGAGGCTTGTGGGAAAAGAATGTAGGGATCCCACTTAAAAATTAAAGACTCCAGGGCTGGGGTGGTGTCTCAGTGGTAGAATGCTTGCCTAGCACATGAAAGGCACTGGGTTTGACATAAAAAAAAAAAAAAAAAATTAAAGACTCCAGAATAACAAATTTGATTGATCCTTGCCAGCAACAAGCATATACTTCTTTGATATCATGATCCAATTATTCACTCATATCCAACCCAAAATAAAGAAGGCAGCTTCTGATTATAGACTTAGAAAGACAACACCAGGGACTGGGATGTAGCTCAGTACTAGAGCACTTGCCTAGCACATGCAAGGCCCTGGGTTCAATCCCCAGCACTGCAAAAACACAATAAAACAACAACAACAAAAAACCCACAAAAACCTCAACAAACATTACAATTTTCACTTCTCCTACCAATCCAAACTCACTCCAACTGAAGCCAGCTGAACCTACCTGTCAATTTTGGGAAGTGTGGTGATCCAGACCAGCAACGGGATGAGGAAGGCTGCAGTTTTACCACTACCAGTCTCAGCCACACCAATGATGTCACGATTTTGTAACCCAATTGGAATTGCCTGGCGCTGGATAGGGGTTGGTTCCTGCAGTGACCCAAAGAAAGAATAATGGGTGCATGTACTACCCAAGCTACTGCTAACATAGCAGGCAATGTGCCAGCACAATGTATTTGGGTGGACACAGTACAATTCACAGGAAAGGGGCACAAAAAGAAACACAATCCCTAAATGGCCAATACTTCCACCAGAAAGTGACAGATAGGGTCATTTTGGTGCCCAAGGGCAGAGAAGATACCAAATAATCAAGGAACAAAATTCTCTATTCCCAAATTAAGATTGTAGGAACATGGCTGGTCTCCTGGGTCAATTGTCCCTTCTTACCTTATAGCCACATTTATCAATGACCTCCAAGATGTGTGGGGGCAGAGAAGAGTCTTTCCAGGATCGAATGGGATTAGGGATTTTGCCACCTTTGGTGGTAATGCTATAGTCCTCACGGAAGATCCGCCAGTCCCTGTCTGTCATCTCATCTAACTTCTTCTGCGACCAATGACGATCATCCCAGCGCTGTTTGGCTTCTTTCTTTCGAAGTTTTCGGAGTCTTGCTCTGGAGCAGAATGCAAGGATTAAATGGAATCAGTAACTTCTACCTCCTTTCTGGAGAAACTCTGGGCTCTGTCCAACCACCTCAACTACTCACTCCTCCTGCTCCTTTTCTTCCAGTGTTCGCCTCTTCTCCATTAGGTCTCCATAGAAGCGTGACTGCTCTCGTTTCTGCTGCTTTAGGTCAATGCCTGCAATGAAGCCTCGCCCCAACAACTGCACCTGGTGCCGTTCTTTGTATCTAGAATTGAGATAGGAAGAAAAAAAAAGGAGGAGCTATTGTAGCAGCAGAGGGTAAAGATAGACTGTCCATATGCATCAGTTCTCCCTGACCAGCATCTTTCCTCTCCCAGAGCTGGTTGAGTATTACCAATTTTCCCATCCCAGTTTTATCTTACTTTTTATCTACCTCTGTCACCACTAGCTCTCTCTCTCTCTAGGGCTGCCTAGTGTCGAAGACAAGGGACTCAGGCCAAAGCTACTCACAGGGGGTTGTAATCGATGGATGTGTCCTCAGATGCATCCCACTCAAAGACAAACTTGCGATCATTGAGATGCCTTGTTCGACGCCGCTTTTTGATGCCACCCAGGTAACGTTCCTGCCCGGACAGCACAAAACCCAGTCAATTTCAAGGCTCAACTCTCACATACAGAGGCCAGAATGGCCAAATAACTGTTCTTCGTGTGTGTGTGTAGATGAAGCCAAGGCCTGCACCTTAATAGCGTGCAGTTCCTTGCTCTTATCCTTCTCTTCCCGGATCTTCTGACGACCTTCCTCATCCTCATTTCCATTGGTCTCCCGCTCCATTCTCTCCCTTCGTTCCCGGCGTTCCCTTTCCTGAGGGTCTTCTGCAGACCAAAGAAAGAAAAGTTGCAGAAGAATTCAGTGGAAGTAAAAAGGAAAGGGAATGGAGGGAATCCAGACAATACCAAATGAAGAAAAAGAAATAGACTTATTATACAAGGGAGATCTAATAAAAAAGATATTTTTCTCATAAATTTCCACCATCCTTCCCTCTTCCAAATTCTGGAGCAAACAGGTTTCTCTCTTTCTAAGTGACACCATAATCCTATCCCACCCTTTCCACACAGGATAGAAAAACAAACCCAACATCTTCCTGCCCAAGTCTTGGAACTGTTTCCTTTTCTTCCTTTCTTCTTCAAGCATTCTCTGCCGCTCTTCCACTTCCTGCTGCCGTCGCTTTAGAGCTTCAGCTTCCCGCTCTGCTTTGGAGAGGAACTTAGGCTACAAAACAAAGAGTGGGGGATATGGCTCAGTGGTAGAGCACACTTGGCTATAGCATCTAAGCTCCTGGTTTCAGTCCCCAGCACCACAAAAAAATAAAATAAAGAGGGAACTGTGATCTGGGAGCAGGGAACAATCACATTACTGCTAGGAAGACTACATGGAATCCCCCCAAAATATTTGCAAAGGCATTAAGCCTATTAAGGAAAACAAATAGGCCTAGGATCCTGTTATGGGCTGAACTATGTACACTCCCAAATTCACATGTTAAATTCCTAATCCGCAGTACCTCAGGATTTGGCTGTATTTAGATCAGGACCTTTAAAGAAGAAATCAAATTAAAATGAGACCACCAAGGTAGGATTAGGCCACCTAATCCAATAGGACTGGGGACCTTATAAAAAGAAGAAATTTGAACACACAGAGACACCAGGGACACATGTGCACAAAGAGATGACCATGTGAATACAGAGAAAAAAAAAATCCACAGCCAGAAGAGGGGCTTCAGAAGAAATAACTCTACTGATATCCTGACCTTGGACTTCTTTTTAAAATCTTTTTATTTGAAATTGTGAAATTTGAGGTTTCGTCTTCTTATCATCATCATCTTCTTGTTTTCAGTTCTGGAGACTAAACCCAAGTTCTCACATATGTTACTCAAGTACTGTACCAATGAGTTACATCTCCAGCCCTTTTATTTTATTTTTTGAGACAATATCTCATTAAGTTGCCCAGGCGGGCCTCAAACTTGTAATCTTCCTTCCTTGGTCTCCTAAGTGGCTGGGATTACTGGTATGAACCACCTAACCCAGTTTTTTGTTTTTGTTTTTGTTTTTTAATACTATTTTAGTTGTAGACGGACACAATCTTTATTTTGCTTATTTTTATGTGGTGCTAGGATCAAACCCAGTGCCTCACATATGCTCGGCAAGTGCTCTACCACTGAGCCACAACCCCGGTCCCCAACACAACTTTAACCCAGTTCAAAATAATGTCTATTATTAAAGCTACCCAGACTATGGTATTTTGTTATGTCACCCAGAGTATGCTAATAGAGACCCCAAAGTTTTTACCTTAGCCTCAGCTTCTTCCTCAGCCTTTTTCTTGGCTAAAAGTTCCTCCAGAGATAGTGGCTGGGCCTGAAGACAAAACACAGGACTTCATTCCATAGAAGCTCTCTTCCATTGGACCAACAAAGCAGGGCTACACTTTGCAGGAAGACGAAAAAATTATTTCTTTTTTACCTTAGGCTTCTTATCACCATGCTCATCATCTTCATCCTTTTTAGAGTCTCTGTCCTTCCGAGATTTAAAATCTTTTCCTCGGCCAGGCGATAAACTTTAAGGAAAAAGAACAAGAAAGGTCTATATCACTGTCTTATTCTAGTTCCTGGATGAGATATAGACTGAGCCCCAAGAGGATGAAGGAAGTTTCCTCATAACTCAACAAGATGGCCTAGCCCATGGTTATCCATCATGTCCTAAGGCTCTCTTGGCAGGCAAGGTCCCCCTCTGCCTACTCTGATATCTAATTATGGCATTTTCTTAGCCCTATTCTACCTGAATCTCCTTTTCTGAAACCAATGTCTTCTGGGAAGTGGGCCTTCTCTTTTAATGTCAAAAATGTTTTCTCCAGCTCCGGGGGTATAGCTCAGTGGTAAACACATACACAAGGTCTTGGGTTCAATCCCCAGCACCACAAAATAAAGCAGTTGCACTCAGGGAAAAAAAAGAAAAGAAAAAACTCTTAATTTTATAATACACAATGAATTGAGCCTACCTGGCAACCCCTACAAGCCAAGAAAATACTACCATTTATATCCAGCACTCAGCATCTTTCCCTACTATCTACGCCAGCAAGCCTTTCCCCACGCCTGCTACATGCTTAATCTACAAGAGATCTCAAACAATCCCACTGAGTTTCTGTTTTAAGTATTCTGTCCTTTGCCTTATCCAGGGTCTGATAAGAACTTTACATAGAAAGTTTCCAAAGGAAAGAGATCAAAACACTGGGACATTAAGCTATTCTATTCTATTCATTTAGGTACTAGGGATTGAACTCAGGGGTGCTTTATCACTGAGTTACATCCCTAATCCTTTTTTTTATTTTGAGACAGGGTCTTTCGAAGTTGTCCAGTGTTATGGGTTTGATATGAGGTGTCCTCCAAGAGTTCATGTGTGAGACAATGCAATAAAGTTTAGAGGTGAAATGACTGGGTCATGAAATTCCTAACCTAACCTAATTAGGTTAATTCTTTTTAAAAAAATATTTATTTTTTAGTTTTAGGTGGACACAATATCTTTATTTTTTTATTTTTTTAGAGAGAGCGAGAGAGAATTTTTTTTTTAATATTTATTTTTTAGTTTTCGGCAGACACAACATCTTTATTTGTATGTGGTGCTGAGGATCGAACCCAGGCCGCATGCATGCCAGGCGAGCATGCTACCGCTTGAGCCACATCCGGAGCCCCTGTTTTTTTTATTTTTATGTGATGTTGAAGATCGAACCCAGTGCCCCACTCATGACAGGCGAGCGCGCTACCTCTTGAGCCACATCCCTAGCCCTACGTTAATTCTTAACCTAATCCCCTGGTAGGGACTAACCAGGTGGTAACTGTAGGCAGAGAGGATGTGGCTGGAGGAGATGGGTCCCTGGGAATCTGCCTTTGGGGTATACATTTTGTCCTTACTGAGCAGAGCTCTCTCTCTGCTTCCTGGAGCCAAGTTCCCAGCTGCTTTCCTCTACCACACACTTCTGCCATATTCTGCTGCAGTCAAAGCTCCAAGAAATGGAATCAGTCATCTATCAACTGAGACCTCTGAAACTGTGAGCTCCCAAATAAACTTTTCCTCCTGTAACTGTTCTTGTCAGATCTTTTGGTCACAGCAGCAAAACGCTAACTAAAATGCCCAGAGTGGCCTCAAATTTGTGATCTTTGTGCCTCAGTCTCCCAAGTAACTGGGATTAGGGGTGTGTGCCACCATGCCCCATAACATTAGGCTATGGGGCAGGGAGGGGGACCACTGGAGATTTAACCGAAAGGCCCTGAATCCGTGAGCCACATCCCCAGCACCCGCTCCTTTTTTTTTTTTTAGTTCTTGATGAACCTTTATTTTTATTTATTTATATGTGGTGCTAAGAATCAAACCCAGTGCCTCACACATGCTGGGCAAGTGCTCTACCACTGAGCTATAACCCCAGCCCAGCAGCCCTTATTTTTTATTTTGAGACAGAGTCTTGCTAAGTTCCTGAGGGCTTTGTTAAATTACTGAGGCTGTTCTCAAACTTGCAATTCTCCTCAAGTTCCCAACTTGCTGGGATTACAGGAGTGTGCCACCATGCCCAGTGACATTAAGCTATTTTAACAAATATATGTTGTATATCCTGGGTAGGAAATTGAATGATATAATGGAGCTACAGGAGTGTTTTGTAGGCTAATAACCTTTTCAAACTAATTTCTAAATTCCAAGCACAAGTTGAGCCTCAAAATGTGACTTTACTAACCATTATACTTTCTAAAGAAAACACATACTTTCTAGAAAGACAATTCTGCAATAACTACCAACAAAATCTGCTAAGAGAAATTAATTTTCCTATGAAGCTGAGATAACTGAGATGCAGAAAGGAAGAGATGAGCACACCCCCATAAAACCCACTCTCATTCCCTAAGGTACCTGGATCGTTTACGGTCCTTGTCTCGTCTGTGCCCATCCTTGTCTCGATCGCGGTCCTTCTTATTCCGATCTCGGTCCTTATCTCGTTCTCGTTCTTTGTGCCGTCGTTCTCTGGAATACAGCAAACTTAAGAAATCACTTGATATTTCCAGAGTATCTTACTTCACTATTGCCCTGATAAGGTTCTGTACCAAGAACTGCACCTTCCTCTCCGAAGTGATTGTTACAAATTGTGGAATATATTTCCCAGGGCAATAACAACAGAATTTGAAGAATATCTCATAGATAAGAGTTGCAATGCTAAGTAAAAATGATGACAATGACAGACCATGGACAACTATGCAAACATGTTAACTATCTTCCTTGATTATGTGGACTTTCATCTTACAAGCTCTCTTTCAACCTCTGAGAGCTGAACAAAACTGAAAACACTTGCAGGTCCAACTGGGATAGCAGTACACTAATGTAGAAAAAGCAGATGTCTAATACTAGAGGCACTGAAGGAACCAAGAAAGAAGTTTGAAATGTATCCTCCCTTCTCATGTAACAGACATGCAAAGTCACTTCACCTCTCTGTAGACTTAGAACGGGAACGAGAGCGGGAGCGGCTGCCTCCTCGACGTCTATCCCTTGAACGATGTCGCTTCCTATCTTTAGATGGGGAGGACTTCCGGTCCCGGTCTCTATCCCGCTCTCTGTCAGGAGTCCGTGATCGCTTCCTTTCCTCCTTGGAAGGTGATGCATCTCGGTCCTTTTTATCAGCCAGTTCTCCTGCCATCTGTTGTAGGCAAGAGTAGGGGTTATTACACATAATTCACTCAGATCTCAAAACAACCCTGAGGTAGATATAATAGTCTGCCTAGTTTAGAGATGAAGAAACTGAAGTTCAGGTATATAAACTAACTTACCTGAGGACACAGAAACAGTTTGGCTCCAGAGGCCCATTCTTACACACTAAACTGTACTCTGGGATTTTTATTTCAGTTTTTGAGGCATACTGGGGATTGAACCTAAGGGGGCTGAGCTACATCCTCAGTCCTTTTTATTTTTTATTTTGAGTAAGGGTCTTGGTAAGTTGCCAGGCTGGCCTTGAACGTGAGATCTTCCCACCTCACTTCCCAAGTAGCTGGGATTCCTTTTTATACATTCACTTCTAAATATGTACAATGAGTATACCATATTTCAATAGACTTTAAGAGTATTAAAAGATGTGTTGATGAGAGTCACAGCCTTTGGGACAGGAATCCCCTGTGTTTCTCCTTTGCTAGCAAAGCAATAAACCTTTTTCCTTTTTCTCAAAAAAAAAAAAAAGATGTGTTGGTGAATAAATAGTGTACCACAATTTCTAGAAATATCCCATATTGCTTATCTTAGGAGGATATTATGTATGCTAGCCTGCCAGGATTAGTCAATATATATATCTAAGGGAGATAAACTATCTTGAGCTCAAAAGAGAAAAGTTCAACTTTGAGATTTACATTATAAACAGCACAAACAAAACCTAAAAGGAGATCAGCTGGGCATGGTGGTGCATGTCTGTAATCCCAGCAACTCGGGAGGCTGAGGCAGGAGGATCATAAGTTTGAGGCCAGCCTCAGCAATTTAGCAAGTCCCTAAGCAATGTAGCGAGACCCTATCGCAAAAGAGGATGGGGAAACTATGCTGGGGGATGTGGCTCAGTGGTTAAGCCCCCTGGTTCAATCCCTGGTATCAAAATAAATAAATAAAAGAAAAAACAAAGCTGGATACAGTAGTACACACTTCTAATCCCAGCAACTCAGGAGGCTGAAGCATTAGGATTACAAGTTTGAAGCCAGACTAAGAAACATACTAAGATCCTGTCTCAGGTTTGGGTTTAGCTCAGTGCTAGTGGCCCTGGGCTCAATTCCTAGTACCACTTAAATAAAGAGGGGTCGGGCAGGAATGATCAGACTTGTATAAAGATTTAAAGAAATGTACCACCACTTTTAACTAGAGAGATTTGGTATAGGGTATACAGGACCTACATACACATTTTTCCCCAACTTCCCATGAATCTATAATTCATAGATTCAAAATTAAACATTAAAAAGTACCAAAAACTTGGGGCTGGGGATGCGACTCAAATGGTAGCGCACTCGCCTGGCATGCGCGTGTCGCTGGGTTCGGTCCTCAGCACCACATACAAATAAAGATGTTGTGTCCGCCGAAAACTAAAAAATAAATATTAATTTAAAAAATTCTCTCTCTCTTTAAAAAAGAATGTACCAAAAACTAGGGTTGGGGGGGTCATAGCTCAGTTGGTAGAGAGCTTGCCTCACGTGTACAAGGACCTGGGTTTGATCCCCGGCACCACACACACAAAAAAAGTACCCAAAACTAGAAGTCCCAACTGACATCCCCTCCTCAGATTCTCACAGCCTTGATTATCTACATTATCCAGTCTCATGAAAGGTTTGAGCAGGAATTTGATCTGTTACCCTCCTATCTGGGGGACACTGAACACCATGCTATACTGTTTCTTTGACTACAAAATCCAATTCATTCAGGAGCCAAAATGACATCAAGTCTGAATCTGCTTCTACCCCATCATCATCAATACAATCATCATCCCTAAGACTTGGGATACATTTCTCAGAACTTATCATCCAAATGGTCCAGCTAGAATATCAATTCCCTAAGCTTCAGTGCACAATCCTCCTTTCCTATGCCATTCCTTGCCACATAGTTTGAAAAAAAGGAAAATGTGTAAGAATAAGAAAACAAAAATGAACAAGTAGTACTTTCAAAAAGTGCAGGCAGCCCATTTTATCTTTAAAAATATTGTTCTATATCTGCACATCACACATATCACACAGAAATACTTATATTTCTTCCTCTTATAACTCGTAAGAAAATACAAAAGAAAGTATCCTGGACCTTATTCATTCTTTCAACAAATATTCATTGAGTTCTTAGTAGGTGCCAGATAGAGTAGTAAACAACACAAAACCTGTGACTTCACAAAAGTTAAATTCTAGTAGAGAGAATTTCAAATAGTAGTAAGAGCTAATGAAATCAATAATACAGGGTGATATGATGGGGAGCCACCTTACCTCCACCTTTCTGGATACTGCAAATTAAACCCAGAGGTATTCTGTAAGAGAATTACATTCCCAGTCTTTTTAATTTTGAGACAGTGTCTAGTTAAGCTGCCCCAAACTGATCTAGAACTTGCCATCCTCCTGCCTCAGCCTCCTGAGTAGCTGGGATTACAGGTGTGTGCCACTGCCCCAAAAGGGAAAAATAACTTTAGTTGATTGACATTTAAGCTAAAACCTGAATGATGGAAGAGAAAGAGCCATGCAAAGATCAGGGAAAAGAACTTATTAGATAGAAGAGACGGCAAGTACTAAACTCTGGGACAGGTTTAAAAAGATTTGTATGACTGATGGGACTGAGGAGGTGTGTGTGTGTGTGAGGGGGTTGACTGGAAATGAGTCCAGTGAGGGAGGCAGGAGTAAATCATGAAAATTAGTTAGGACAGGGCAAAGAAACTTGAATTTCAAGTTAACTGCAATGGAAACCTTAGAATGGCTTTAAACAGGATGTGACAAGATCCAATTTTACATTGGGAATTACTTTTGGTAACTTTTACATATAAAATCATTGAGAATGCTATTACAGTACAGTCAGCCCTCTATATCCCTCCAAGGTTCTACATCCGTGGATTCCACCAACCACAGATGGAAAACATTTTTTAAAAATTACATGCGCATGGGTGTACACACACACACACACAGGAGAAAGCAGCAGCAGCCAGTAAGAAAAATATATATATATATAAGGAAACTGTAGCAATACAGAAACCAAAGGAGGTTGTGGTCAACTGTGTCAGGTACCATTCAAGTGGAGTAAAGAAGCAACCATTACACTTGAAAAAATGGAAATTATTGGCGACCTTGACAAAAGCTGTTTCAAGGCAAGGAGGGAGCATAAGCATGACTAGTGAATTTGGAAGCGAGTGAAAAGTGAGAATAAATATAGACAACTTTTATTACAGATAACCAGGCCACCTCTGGCTATGCTTCCCAGCAGCCTTCCTCTTAAATCTCCACACCTTTGAGTTCCTCTGTTCTTGTAAAGCAAAAGGCAGATTTTTTTTTTTCATTCATCTAAGTATTTATCGAGCGTGTACCATAAGCAAGGGTCAGTGCAAGGCGCTGTGTGAGTTACAAATGAAATTCTGTCCACAGGAAGCTTTTAGAACAACAGAGGCCATGAGACATATACCAAGATGAAGGCTCAGATGAAGTATTACAGGAGTTCAAAAGCAGCAGTTTTTCCTTTCATTTGTAAAAAGGGATTTAGAAGGCTCCACAGAGTAGGTGGCTTTTGAGCCTTTACGTATAGGCAGAATCTGAGGATGTGTAATTGAGGGCGCGGAAAAGAAGCAATTCCCCTCAAAAGAAATAATACAGGCGGTGCAGAGGCGGGAAGGTATGGACTGGTTTGGGGAGTAAACGAGTTACAGTTTGGCAGGAGCACCGGCTATTTGAAACAAGAACAGGTCGGAGTAGGGATATCACAGGCGCTGTACCCATGGGCAAAGGTCTAGGTTCGTAACATCGTCCAGAGACGTGGGAGTGAGCCCTCAGCAGCCAACACTACCCCTGGGGCCCGCGCCCCTACACTCCTGCCCGCCAGAGCTTCCCGGGCTCGTGCCCTTTCGCTAAAGCATTCTTTCCCGCCTCGTCCCGGAAGCAGGGGCTACAGTAGTGGACCCCACTCTTGCCCTCTCTGCAAGACCGTGGGGACCGCCTCCACCGCCCAGGACTCACCACCCTGTCTCTGAACCGCCTAACGCGGCCTCAACGTCGCTGAGCCGTCGCCATCTTTCCCATTTCCTGGTCGCCGAGGAGCACCCCGGGCGCGCGGCAAGCTGGGAAGGCGAGTCCCCGGGCCTGCTCCGCTCAGGCAGGCAGTGAGGTCGGGAACTACTAATCCCAGAACGCACGGTGCGCGCGCCGGCCGGGCTGCGAGGTCTGCTGGGCAATGTGGTCCGTCAAAGCTTTGAGTCTGCGGGAAGAAGAGATTTCTGTGGGCGTGTAGCCCGCAGCACAGTCTTTTTCGAATGCGCTGGTCCTCTACAGTTAATGATTATCCTGACCGGTGGCTTATAGCGAAGTAATTTAGAGCTTCCTTAGTTAATGCTAGCACATAATGAAGTAACGGTAGTTAAAAGAGCGTTTTTACGAAAATTCTGAGAGATTATTAGTCTGTCCGTTTTACAGAAATTATTAGTCGTTACACTTTACAACTAGACAAACTAACGATCAGGTTCCAGGAGTAGACTAGTTTTTCACAAATGGGTTAGTTCATTGTGTGGAACTACCCCAGGTTTAGGAGTAACTGGGTTACTATAATATCCCGCAACTGGGTGAGTGCTGAACAACCCGTTATTAGGACAACTCAAAATGAGCCAACACATTGGACTCCAAAAGCCTCCAGGAAGGATGGTATCTCCTGAGCTGAGGCACCTGTTTTCTTAACATTCCAGATAGGACCCTGGCTTCCTCATTTTCTTGCCCTTTGGGATCTGGGTTATCTCATTTTTGTTGCTGCTTCTTCCTAGTTCCCCCTACTTAATTCCTCCCCTGAGCTTTTTTTACCCCAAATCATATGCTCACTTTGTTTCTTTGGTCTCATGAATTCATAATTCCCGCCCTCTCTCTGATCCCAATAAGGACACACACACACACACACACACACACGAACATCTTTGCCACTGTTGAGATAACTTACATTTTTCCATTTTGTCCCCTTTGTTGTTTCAATCTGCATGGCTGCAGGTCTGTTTTTTCTCCTCGAGTATATTTTCAGTTCTCAAGCAAGGTCTCTAGGTAGATAAACATTGAGCATCACATCACGCACAATGGTCCAAAGTAACTCTAGGACACGCACGCTTTCTCTTCTAGCGCAGAGAAAACTGAACGCAGTTTATCTATTGAGTGTAATACACGAAATGAACACTAGAGGGCTCTCTACTCACAGACTGGAACCGCAACTAAGAATCAGACCAAGGAAGCTAGAACCTTTAAGAGCTATTTATTGAGAATTTTTTGAGAATCTTCTAAGTGCCCAGCTCAGTAATGGACACTTAACATTCGATACTTATTTTACTGAGTTTATTATAACAGTGTGATATGGGTGATATCTTGTAACATTATAGCCCAGATGGATGATTATGCTTTCAAAGTCCATATAGTTAAAAGAATGGCACCAGAATTTGACTCCAGATTAATTTACATTCAAAATTCAGAATCCATGCTTTTTCCCTATTTCCAGAATACCATCTCCATTATCTTTAACGATGAGGAAATTGAAACTCAGAGAGGTGACAAAGATTGTCCAAGTTCATGGTGATAGAATTCCTCCTAGTACTTGTGTACACATCTCACAACACATATAAGACTTTAAACTTAAATAATACTTGTTGTAGCTAGCTGTGATGGCACAGGCCTGTAATCCCAGCGACCTGGGGAGGCTGAGATAGGAAGATCAAAAGTTCAAGGTCAGCCTCAGCAATTTAGCAAGGCCCTACGCAATGTCTCAAAATTAAAAATAAAAAGGGCTGAGGATGTGGCTCAGTGGTAAAGCATCCCTAGGGTAAATCCACAGTGCCCCCCCCCACACACACACACAAAAGAATACTTTTTTTTCTTACTTTGCTATTTCTCTCAAAAATATATATCTCTGGAGATGGAGATAGGAGGGTCTAGTAAAGAATATTGGTGGTTTCTTGTTTAGCTACAACAGTAAGGGGTCCATGGGATTATAGTTGTCATAATTAGATAACTAGATTATCTAATTATGATAATTATATTATCATATAGTTATCATAATTAGATAATTATGATATCTAGATTGAATCCTGATTCAAATATTTACTAGCTAGCATGATCTTGTGCATGTTATATGACACCTCTTGTTTTTCTCTCTCATTTATAAAATAGGGATAATTAATACTTCTTGTCTCACGGGATAGGATAGCAGAATAGTTAAGAGTGCATAATCTAGAACCAGATTACCTGGATTTGTAACCATGTTCTATCACTTTCTAGCTGTATTACCTTTGGCACATTAACTAATCCCTTTGAACCTGAATGATTTTGCTGTAAAATGAAGTAGCTAGTGCTTCAAAAGGTAATCACAGGAATAAATCACAACTCAAAAGTGCCCCTGGCCCACAGTAAAAACAGCAAATGTTAGCTATGATCATTTATAAGGTTAAATTTGATAATGTAGGTAAATCCCTTATGTGCTGAGCACTTAAGTACATAGTAACTTTTAATCCAGCACTACACTATGAAACTTGGAAAACAAGAGTTGTGAGTCATTGAGAAGAAGGAAAATTAAGGCCCCTGAGCTATAATCAACAGGAGCTGGAATTATGTATTTTTGGTTTTGGTTGGTTTGGTTTGATACCAAGGATTGAACCCAGAGGCAGGGCACTTAACCACTGAGCCACATCTCCACCTCTTTTTTGTCTAAGTTGCTAAGGCTGGCCTCAAACTTACAATCCTCCTGCCTCAGCCTCCTGAGTCACTGGGATTATAGGTGTGCACCACTGTACCCAGTAGGAACTGGAATTGAAAGTTCAATGACAGAGGTCACCTGTTCTTGAACTTAAAACTGGCACCTCAGAAGTCTACACCTGCCTTGGCTTAGTCTGTGCACCTGTATGTGTGTGTGTGGGGGGGGTACTGGAGATTGAACCCAGGGCCTTGTGCATTCGAGGCAAGCACTCTACCAACTGAGCTATAACCCAAGCCCAGTCACTGCACCTTCTGCTAGGGGTGGAACTCAGCTACTCAGCTGCTTTCTCTCTCCTCAATATTCTGTAGGACAGTAGTCCTCAACTGGAAGTAATTTTGGCAGGGGACATTTAGCAATATCTGGAGACAGTTTTGACTATGACAACAAGTGGATGCTACTGTCATCTAGTATCTGCCAGATGCCATCTAAATAGGACAACCATCCCCCTTACAAAAACAAAAACAAAACAAAAGCATTCTCCAGTCCAAAGTGTTAGAACTTAAAGGGTAAGGGCTAAGGAGATTTTCCTTGGCTTAAGAGGACGTGAGTGGGATTGAAGCTGGGAATGGGGGAAATGAAGAAATTCTATGTTGGAGGTGCTAGGGAACCATGGAGGTAGTCACTCTGCAACCCACACAAAGGCTCCAGAAAAGTGTTTCCCTGATTATTAATGATCAAGAAAACAAACAACAAATAAAATAGAGTCAACTTGTTTATATGTGTTATATTTTTCATTAATAAATAGGTTTTCTTCTTTAAACACAGAACATATAACAGATTGAAACACTCCCCCCTCCCCCCAATTCCAAAGACAAGAGTCTATAAAACAAATGCCAGCTGTACTGCCCTAAGAGCAGGAAAAGTCTGGTGACCCCCACCCGGCCCTGCCCCTGCAGCACCACCACCCCCACACTCTGCAAGAGAAGGGGGTCTGGGGCTTCTCCCTTGGACCCTGGGGACTTAGGTGAGAAGCATGTGAATGTATGATGTCACCTCTTCATGAGGCTATGTAAAGATGAGGTTTCCTTCTCATCAGCTCTGACCAGCCCCTGCCCCTCTGATTTCATTGCAAAGCACCTGGGCTAAGCTCCCAAGGGAGCTGTCTCTTGGCTTCCCCACTCTCCATTCCTCTGCCACCTGCTTAGAGGGGAAGAGAACGGCTCAGGGACCCCTCCCATCCCCCAGCCTGCATGGAAATACTGTGTGGAACAGGCATGATGCTGAAGGTGAGGCTCCTGTAGGCCCCCAAGCCCATGAGGCCAACATGCCCCCCCACTCCCCCACACCTTTCCTTCCTCTGGAGTGAGGGGCACTGGGGCAGCTGCCCCCTCCAAACCTAGTGCCTGGCTTGGGGTGTGATGGTTCTTGCTCAATGTCAGGTCCTCATGCCAGGCCTGGCTCCATCCTCATACCATTCCTGTCTCCTTCCAAGCCCTCACGGTGGCCATCTGAAAACTCATGTCCAGTGTCCTAAATTGTCTCATCCTCCCTCTCCCCGTGCCTCTGCACCCTAAGGGAGGAAGTGGGGGGTTATCTCCCCTCCCAACTCCCACTTCACATAATGGAACAGCTTTTGGCCTTTTCCTTCTTGAAGGTAGAAGAGATGAGTTCAGAGCGACTGGGGAGGTGGAGTAGTCGCTTGGAGAGGCTTCTGACAGGGCTCTTCGGGGGCACTGGGTTAGGCTTGTTCAAACACACCATGGATGCCATCCGAAAGATGCTGTGGACACTCTTCTCTGAGGTGAAAGCTGAGCCTTCCAGATAGATTTCTGCACCCAGTTGCTTGGCTATTGCACATCCCTGAGGGAGGGGGTGAAGTCATTAATACAGTAGTCCAAAATGGTTGGTAAACGTGAACTTCTAAGTGCTGCTCCTAGGATTATTCCAGATGGCACCCCACTGCCAGTCTCCTACCACCAGCCTAAGTGGGTTATTTTATATATATATATAATTATTTACATATATTTATATTTTATATTATTATTTTATATATACATATATATATTTAGTTGTAGACGGACACAATGCCTTTATTTAATTAATTTATTTATTGGTGGTACTGAGGATTGGATCCAGTGCATCACATGTGCTAGGCAAGCACTCTACCATGGAGCTACAATTCTAACTCCTAAGCCGGTTATTTTGTGCAAGTGAAGCCTGACTGCACATTAGAATCACCTGAAACACTTTTAAAACTATAGTGATCGTAGAGCAAGTAAATAAGAATTTGGGGGGATAGAGTATAGGCATTTGGTTTTTGTTTGTCATTTGTGTGGTGTTAGGAATCTAAACCAGGGCCTCATGCATATAAAGCACATGCTGTATCACTGAGCTATCCCCAATCCCAGCATTACTATGTATGTATGTATGTATGTG